TGAGGGAGTGAATGAGTTGCTTAGTGGTTTCCGGGGTTAGGAACGGACGTATTTTGGAGATGTTGCGGAAGTGAAGTCTACAGGAGTTAGTCAGCGATTGGACTTGGGGCTGGAAGGACAGATTGGAGTCTAGGATGACACCAAGTACTCTGGCTTGAGGGGAGGGACTGATGGTGGTGTTTTTGGTCTTGATGGAGAAGTCGGGGGGGGGGGGAAACTAGGAGCTCAGTTTTGGAAAGATTTGAGGAAATGGAGTGACATCCACTCCGATATGTCGCTCAGTAGGCTTGTGATACGGCCGGAGACTGAAGGAGTGAGGGGATAAAAATCAAAGTGAATCAGTGAAACCACGCCTTGTGGTAAACATGAGAAAAAAAAAGGGAATCAAAAATGTAATGTATATACTCAAAATGATTTGTGAATCTAAACAATGACAGTGATCCCACTATGAGATAAATACAGTGGATCCGTGAAACCAAAAATGGTGGTAATTGTGAAAGAAAGAGAAAATCAGGCTCACCGCCTATAAATCATTAACAATCACTTAAATAAACAATACTGACCCCCTACCTGGGATAAGTGAACACCAAAAAAATAGGCTAAATGCCTATAGATACTGATATAGATACTGAACCCCCAAATGGGGGTTCTGAATAAGCGTGAAAATAAGTGACTTCAAACAGTGCTTCACACTTTCCGTATATCCACAAACTTATATCAACAGTGGATAGTCCACCCACCAACATAAACAAAAACCAAAAACTACAAAAAATTATTGTGTCCCTAAAAAGTGGAAAAAAACAAAAATAAATAAATAAATGTCCAATCTAAAAAAGCGCCCATTACCATTTACCACCAAATGAAAGCCCACGTTGTTCTGAAATAAAACAAGGTATAATTTATCTGAAATAAAACAAAGTTTAAAAAAAGAAAAAGGCTTTGAGATTCAAGTGGTTAATACAAAAGTGGACTGGTGGCTTTTAAAATGTTCCAGCTTTACTCTAGGTTTTTTCAGCAGAGGGCAGATTCATTGCACAATAGCATTTGACAAGTAATACGTGTGCAACGTGACACAAGATTGCCAGGATAGTTCTACAACATTAGATAGCGGTCGGAGCAGTAAAAAAAAAAAAAAAAAAAAAAGAAGAAAAACCTGACTTGCCTCCAGTAAGAGGGGCCGCCAAGTGTTTCCACCTGATGCACTAATACTCACCGCTCAGTCTTCTGACATTGGCTTCTAATCAACAGACTCTGCCTTTGTCAGTGGACAAGTGATTTCAGCGTGTGAGGCAGCTATAATGGCCTGACTGACATCTCAGCCAGATAAACACAAGAGAAAAACAGACATGGGAACAATCTCCGTATTCATGATCTCCACTCGAGCGGGTTAAAAGGATTTGCTGGCCAAGGGCACATCACTTCAGGCTAATCTGCTCAACCAAAACATTGCCAAAGTCTGACCATAAAACAGATGACGAACACAGAAAAGACACTTCTTGTCCAATTGGAGGGCCCTGTCCTTACTCAGGCTAAAGGAAAATGAAAAGCTGTTTTATGAGGAGGCTGACAATGCGACACAATGTGGAATCTCTCCTAGTTGCTTGTATATACAAAACAAGTGTTATGCTCCTTTGAAACATCAAGTAAATGTGAATGTAACTCAATCTAAAATGTATTTCTCTGTTTTCGGGTCCAGGGCCCTGGCATGGTGATCTTCTCCGACCCTGGCACTGTGGAGACATTTATAGCTCAAATCCTGCCATTTTTTTTAAAAGTAGATATAAAAAAACACACGTTCAGACTAGGTTCACATATGTGCGGGTGGTGCCGCTGCGGATCTGCACGAAAATCCATGCAGCAGCACCACCCGCACAGAGAATTGCAGGCCCGCGGACGGGTGCCATTAGCTCTAATGGCATGCCGCCTGCACTGGAAAACCAAACTGGACTGGGAACCGAGGTTCCCGTGCGGGCTGCGTTTTCCAAAGAAGTGCAGGGACTTCTTCCCTGCGTGTCCCGGGGCACGGGAGTCCATTCAAATGAATGGGCTCTCGTGCCCGTGCAAAACGTGGCCCGCAGGGCCGCATAGATGTGAACCGGGGGTAAGGCTACATTCAGATGCCTAATAGCCAGCAAGAGTCTGTAAATTCTTTCCGGCAGTTGAAAAAGCTGCTTCTGTGCAACCAGCAGCAGCTGTCTGTGGTACTCTGTACAAGTCAATGGATTATGCCGCTGCTGTTCACATGTAAGAACTCATTGATGCGGTTGCATCCAAACAGGGTGTCTGAACCAGAGGCGCCCTAGGGTTGGTGTCACCCGGTGCGATAACACTTGGTGACACCACCTCCGACGATCCCCCGCAGAATGGATCGGATCTGCGGATTGAGCATAATGGATCGGACTCTGGTCCATTATGCTCAATCGGATCTGCGGATTGATCATAATGGATCGGAGTCCAATCCATTATCCCTCCCAATCCGCAGATCCGATCCATCCTGCAGGGATCGTCGGCATGCAACCTATACGGGGTGACACCGGACCCGCCAAATGAAAAGGTAAGTTGTAAAGCAAGCCGACGATCCCCGCAGGATGGATCGCATCTGCGGATTGGGGAGCATAATGGATCTGACTCCGATCCATTATGCTCAATCCGCAGATCCGATCCATCCTGCGGGGATCGTCGGCTTGCTTTACAACTTACCTTTTGGTGTAGCGGGTCCTGTGTCACCCGGTGCAGCGCGCACCCCCCACACCTGCCTAGTGACACCACTGGTCTGCCCGACCCTGGATACAGTGTGCATCCAGGGTCATCTTGCCCACCAATAAACTGACTGCAGCTAACTGGCCAGTTTGTATGCAGCATGGCAGTGATGTGCCCTGCCAGGGTGTAAAAGGAGTACTTGACCCAAGATTCTCATCCAAGCAGGTTGGGGGGCTTCTCACTTTACTTATCAGTTGGTAAAACCTGGTTTGGAACCTGGAGCCTGGAGATTTCTTGTGTGGGATGAAATCTCCAATCCTGAGTCCTGGTTTTAGGAAACTGGCACACTAATTGTACAGGTGTGTGCTGGGCTTTAAGCCCTGGTTCACACTGCTGCAACTTGTCTTGCAACTTGCGACACATAAAGTCACATGACAAGTCAAAACACATTCATTTCAATGGCTGCTGTTCTAATCAATGCAACTCAAGACACAGCAACTAAAAAAAAAGTTCCTGAACTACTTTTCTGCATCTTTTTTTGCAACTTTAGTGTCATAGCCTGCAATGTTAAATCGCCAAAGTCACAAGGATGTCGCACTGAAGTCACATCAAGTCGCAGTGCAAAGTCACACCCAAGCAGTGTGAGCCGAGGCTTATTAGTGACCTAAGGTTCTGAGCTCCACCTCTGCAGACAGGGGGACACCCCCCCCCCGGTCAGGTGGGCTCCACCTAGGAGAGAGGTAACCTAATGCCTCTATATTTTTTAATACACCTCTTTTTTATGCAAGAAGTGTAAGCACCTCGTATCAGCCTTATGAAATTTCTATACAGCAGGGCTGGAGTGTGAGAGGAAGAAGAAGCACAAGAAGACAATTAGTTCATGTGCTCACAATAGGCATGCTAATAGGAGGAAAAAGCAGAATGACAGATAGATGAGCTCATCACTGTCCTGCTTCTATCTGTCCAGTCTCAGGATGGGGCAGGTCAAGGACAACCTGGGCTCAAAGGAAGTGGGTTGAATGATGCTGATCATCAGACTGAGGACATCTACTGGCATAAAAACATACTGTGAGTTATATTTTACTATAACTAAAACCAAAGCCTTTGGGGCCCATTCAGGTGTCAATGCATGGCTCCATGTTCACTGCCAACGCACAACAGCACACATACCTGCATTGTAGTGCACTGTGGGGGAAAAAATGTGCATGTGCTTTTGTTTGACTGTTGTGATGCAATGTATAGGACAGCTTATAGTTGACTAGGCCTTAGAAGTTACATATTTCACACACTGGGAGAGATGTTGGGACAGCGGTGTTCAAGTTCAAAATATGCAAAAAATTAGAAAAATTAAAATGAGATTACAAGGTAGGGCTACTGTATTGCAGGGCTATCTGCAAAGAAGACAAAAACATGTTAATGGTTATCGGAAACCATTAGGATGACTTCAAAAGACATTTTTCCAGTAGGAGTTCCCCTCTAAGTTTAAATGAGGACTATTTGCAGAAAACAGACACATCCCTTGAGGGGATAAGTGACATAAAATAACAACCTTATAGCTGCGCTAATCACAAAAATGAAAGAGTGCTGATCTATGCCGTCCCTATCGTTGTCTGTCGCCTAAACTCTCTGGCTAGCTCCCTTCCTCCAAACTACAGTGATTGCAGAACTGCTCCTAATCAATAATTCACTACAAAATTGCTATTTTTTTCCACAGAGAAATAAAAGAAGAAAAAAAAGTATTTTATTCTCCCTGCCGGGAATTCAGAGTACCGGCAATTATATAATATAAGTGCCTAATTAATGAAAGGCTGTGCTCGTTACCCCAGGTGCCCATAAAACCACAAACTAAGCCACATAGTGACCCCATATGAGATGAGATTCCTGATAGTATGTGCTAGGAACAGTCTCTACAGAGAATTCTGGGGAAATGATATATCTAGTAGAAGTCTGGATTTCGGCTGTGAAGCCATGGGGCTTGTGTATATGGCGAGTGGAGAAATGGTGCTGGAGGTGAATGTGAACCAGCTGAGAAGATATCCAGTGACACCATTCGTTTATAACCAGCAAAATGGCCAGCTGAGCCCAGCTAACCAGCTACGTGGACAAAATTAAGATTGGTTCTGACCAGGGGCGGACTGACCATTTTTAAACTCAGCACTGCCCGAGGGCCCTGGGTCATTAGGGGGCCCCATGAGATGCACCTGGTACCTTTTTAATAGGCTTTTTTGAGTTTGGGCAAGGACACAGGGGCTCTGTGATCCCCTATTGCCAGGGCGCCCCATGAGCAGGGGCGGACTGACCATTTGGAAACTCGGGCACTGACCGAGGGACCGGGGTCAGTAGGGGGTCCATGAGATGCCCCTGGTACCTTTTTCATAGGCTTTTTTGAGTTTGGGCAAGGACACAGGGGACCCATGATCCCCTATTGTCCGGGGGCCCCATGAGTTGTCAGTCTGCCCCTGCCCATGAGTTGTCAGTCCGCCCCTGGTTCTGACATTAGAATAAAATGAGAAGTGTCCATTACATACATTTGAAATATGTGGAAGCCACAAAGTTATTGGGTCTCCATATGTGTGGTCCTACTCTATTCTAGGGAAGAACCAACAATGGGACAATTCAAGTCTTAGGGTGCCGGTCTCGTTGTCTTAAAAGCTCAGTTCACCTTTCTTACAAAAAAGCCTATGCAGCCAAAGGGCCCCAAGTGGATATTAAAAAAAACTGTGCAGCTTTGGAAAAAGTTCATTCATTTTATAGGCATACCTGTAGACCACTTGCCCCCACCCCCCGTCAAGCCTGGCTAAAAAACTCCTAGTTAGCAAACCCCACTTCCTACGTTGTTGCAAGGGCATGAAAACTGTTCAATGCTCACTCCCAGCATTACACGAGTGAAAACTAACAGTTTTCATGTCCTAAGAACAAGACAGGATGTGGGGATTGCTAACTGAGACTTTTTAAACCAGGTTTCCAGAGAAGCCCAAATGGCCTACGTATAAAATAATAAAAAATAATGATCATTTTAGAAAGCTCCACAGTTTTTAACACCTACTTTTTGGAAAAGGTGTACTTAGCCTGTAAGCTGGATAAAAATGAAATTTACAGAAAGCGTGCAAATACTATAGCTTGTGCATACAGTATATAGTATCTATCTACACACAAATCTATCTTTCTATCCCTCACCTCACCCCTTCAGTCTCCACTCGCATTACTAACCTACTAAGTGACATATCGGCATGGATGTCACTCCACTTCCTCAAACTCAATCTTTCCAAAACTGAGCTCTTAGTATTCCCTCCATCCCGTGCCCCCTCCCCTGACTTCTCCATCAAGATCAATAATACAATCATCGTTCCCTCCCCTCATACCAGGGTACTAGGTGTAATCCTAGACTCCCATCTGTGCTTTCAGCCCCAAATCCAATCACTGTACAAATTTTGTAGACTTCACCTCCGCAACATCTCCAAGATACGCCCGTTCCTAACCCCGGAAACCACTAAGCAACTTATCCACTCCCTTGGTTTATCTCGCCTTGACTATTGTAACTCCCTCCTCATTGACTGACCTCATCACAGGCTATCCCCTCGTCATCTATCATGAATGCTGCTGCCAGACTCATCCACCTTACTAACCGTTCTGTATCCGCCACCCCTCTCTGCCAATCCCTCCACTGGCTTCCCATTCAGTGTCCTCCACCTCTCTCTGCCAATCCCTCCACTGGCTTCCCATTCAGTGTCCTCCACCCCTCTCGGCCAATCCCTCCACTGGCTTACCATTGCCCAACGAATAAAATTCGAAAACACTAACAATAACGTATAAAGCCATTTATAACTCTGCCCCAAATTACATCACGGATCTTGTCTCTAAATATCACCCAAACTGTACTCTCCGCTCCTCGCAAGACCTCCTACTCTCTAGCTCCCTTGTCTCCTCCTCCCATGCTTGTCCAGCGCTTCCCCCATCCTCTGGAACTCTCTACCCCAATTTATCAGACTATCGCCAACTCTGATCACTTTTAAGCGATCTCTGAAAACCTATCTCTTCAGGGAAGCCTATCCTGCCCTCAGCTAATACTGGAATCTTCTACTCTTCCAACCAGTCCATCCCCCACAGTTACTACCTTTTGTACCACTAGCCCCTCCCTCCTAGATTGTAAGTTCCAAGGAGCAGGGCCTCAAATCCCTCTTGTATTGAACTGTATTGTTACTGTATTGGCTCCCGTTATATTGTGAAGCGCTGAGCAAACTGTTGGACCTATTGGACCTATATAAATCCTGTATAATAATATAATAATAATAATTGTAGTTTACAAACTTTATCAACAGCAGTTTTCCAGGATGCAGGTAAAGTTCATTTGACAGTTACTTGGAAAAACGAATGCCCCGTACACATGATAAGAAAATCGTACAAAAAAACTGATTGAACGATTTTCTCTTCGTTGATGAGCAGGATGTATTAACTGATAATGATATTGTGAACGAAAAAATCCGGTTGAACAACAGTGAAAAAGTTTGTCGTTTCACATACAAACGGTATGACGGTCGTACGAAAAAAATCTATCAAGCGCTATCACGTATGAGCGGAAACAGAAGATGACCCGGATGTTTATGTCCAAGGAATCTTTGTAAACACGAACAAAAAATCCAAATGTTAAATGTAGATTGAACTAATGAGATAATGAAACCAGAATTCTGCAGATTATATTTTATGTATCACTATTTATGTATATAGGTCATGTAATAAACGATATTATACTCATTGCTGGTCATTGTTGTGTATATCGCTCGTTCTGGCCGGAAGGGCGTGGCTACAAGGTCACATGCACACCGCATCACTTCCACTTGTACGGAAGACGTCAACACTACGTATTGCCAGACAAATTATTTTTTTAGATTGGTTAATGTGGGCCAAGATCGGTCGATTTTCTAATTGTGTATTCCCACCTTTACTCTGATGTCCTGCAGAGTGAAGCTGCAGGTGCTTTGACTAAGGGAAACCAGCAGTGAAGCCTTGCAGCTTTAGAGGCGGTTTCCTAGTGCATATGAGCAAAGCGCATTGCGCTTTGTGAATGGACCGCGGTCCTCTGGGACCTGTGGAGTGTCCCAGAAGGCTGTGGGGGGGGGGGGATAGAGCTGAAATTTTGGCTCAGTTTGCCACCACTGCGAACTGAGCCAGAAGAGGGAGCAGGTACCTATCAAAACCAGGTGCCCACTCCCTCGCCCCCCCCCCCCCCCAAAAGGTGCCAAATTTGGCAGAGGAGGAGGGGAGAAGGCAGGTAAGCAGATCTTCCACTTTTGGTATGGCCAATGCTATGTTTCCCATACATCTCCCGGGGATCATAGAGCCGGTCCAGGTTCTGCAGCGATCCTTACAATAATGTAGGGATCCACCTAGATGCCTGAGCAGCAGCTGGCTCAGCCTTTCAGTGGCATGCCATGAATAATGATTCATGCTGAGAGCCTCAGCCAGTCATTCCCGTCCCCTCCACAGATCGGAGGGGCAGAGCAGAGAGCCAGTGACTGATAGTCACAGGCTCTCTGCTCATTGGAGATCGAGAACTGAGAAACCAGAGGTCTTTGATCACTCACTGTAGAGAACAGGTGTCAAACTGGTGACCCTCCAGCTGTTGCCAAGCTACAAGTCCCATGAGGCATTGCTGATTTACAGTTACAAGCATGACTCCGAAAGGTAGAGGCATGATGGATAGTTTTGAAACAGCTGGATGCCGCCACTTTGACACCCCTGCTGCAGAGCCAGAGCAGAACATGTGCAGCATCAGGTTAGTGCTGCAGCCATCTGGGTGAACATTTATATTTGCTTTTTTGTAAACCCATACTTCTTTTTTCTTCTATTTCTCCCAACAGAACCGAAATCTGGAAGAATTCCAACATTGAGACAAACTAGTTTTAAAGGCAAGTGCTGCAAGTGCACCTGGAACCCATCCTGCAGGTTGTGGGCACATATGACCTTTTGGTTCCTTTTGTGAGGTCCTTGAGACTCATTGACTGATATTGGAAGTGGCAGAGGAATGTTTTTGTAAAAGGGCTATACTCAAAGTGAACTTTAGTAGTCTCTGTCAGTCTGTTGTAACATGTACCCTGTCCTGTCTCCAGATGCTGTTAATTGTGAATCATTGTAGGTGGTTAGAAAATTTAGGAATACTCCCAGTGTCAGGAGCAGGTCCTTCAGTGCCCAAGGCAAAAAGCCAAAGTGCCCCACCTCAATGAACTGTGAACTAGTTCAGCAGCATAGGGTGCAGGTTCTCATCCTGAATTTGGCCCCGAATGGAGTTCTTCTTCTTTATATATGCAGTTATTATATATGACAGGTTCACTCTAATACTACACATCTTAACCTTGTCAAAGAGATTTCCCATAGAAAGCACAGGATTTACCGTTATCACTCTGGATACAATTACCATGCAAGCCACAGGAATTAATATAACTATTTAGTCTCAATTTCCATTCATGCTTACAGGAATTAAGATGAGTAGATGCAAATCCCATTTACACCTACAGGAGATAATGCAGCTGTAATTTTCCACCCAGATCTTGATACAGCCTGTGTAGTTCTGTAAGAAGTTGATGTGCTGAGATCCTCAGCTACGTGTTGGCTGATCAGGTCTTCTCAACAGAATGCCTAGTTGCATAACAGTATATAGCTGAACTACCATTTCTGCCTTTACAAACCTTGCTTAAGATCTGGCACCATAATGTGTTAATTACTACCTGTGCCAGCAAAAAGAAAGAAAAAAGGTTCTTCTGTTCGCTCCTGTGATCCTCCTTTGTTTTACTTATTAAACACTTTTTTGGGTTGAACCCTCCAGCCCATTGCCCCCTCAACTAGTAATAACACCCTTATTGGTCATTATAGGAGTCCTCATGGCACAGTGGCGATTGGTGGCCTGAATCTAACACACAATGCAGATCTTAGACTAAAAGTTAGAAAAGTCAAACTCTTAGTACCAATGTGAAACCAGAATGATTGTGGTGCACAAAAGTTTCAAATAGCCAAAGCTGTTACTGTGCAGAACTTCAAGAGGTTGACATCAGCTAAAATACTGGTACTTACATATATGGTAAACAAAAATACATTTATGATGTATAAGGCCTCACCGTCATGGGCAAACCAATCCATACACCCATATGAAGGGCTGTCTTCACCTGCCTAGGTGTTCTATGCAGGGGGTACAGGCAGCTTGTTGAAATCAGCAACAGGCGGCTTGCTGCCTGAACCTCCATGCACATCCCAGAGTGCACATTTGTGCAGATCCAATGCACAGATCAGAACGCAGTCTGTCTGATCCATATGCCATTGTGAGTGAGCCCTTAATTTTGTGACCCTCACTCGTACAAAACACTTTTCCTCTACAATCCTAACCCCCCCACACTCAGTCTGATAAGCTATTTTTTTTTCTTTTGT